ATATTGCGAGAGCTATTAACATCTAGATGGTCCTGCAAGGGATGGGACAAAGCTGGACCTAATTCTGGGGAATGAAGCCAGGTGGTAGTGGTAGGGCATTTTGTGATAGTAACCACAACACCATAGTTTTTAAGTTTGTTATGGAAAGGAAAGAGATGGTCTGTGAAAGAAGATTTTGGATTGGGGAAGGCAGATTTTATTAAAGCAAGGCAAGATCTGGCCAAAGTAGATTGGGAACAGCTTCTTGAGTGTATATGCACAGCTGAACATGGGAGGTGCTCATAAAGGACTTGGGGAGGTGCAACATGTTCCCTTTATGGTGAAATGTAGGAGCAGCAAGCCCAGAGAACCCTGGATATCTGGGAATATTCAGAACTAGATAAGAAGGAAAGAAGAGGCATATAACAGGTCTGCAAAGAGGGAGCAGATCATCAGAGGCCCCAGTGGAATATAGAATGTATAGGGAAAGCTTAAGAAAACAATTAGGTGAGCAAACACTGATGGGTATGATTACAGAAAGTCCCAAGATATACTACAGTATATCAAGGGGAAGAGAATAACCAGGGAAAAAGGAGAGCCCATTAGGATCCAAAGGGGAAATCTGTATGGAGCCAGAGGACATTGGTACAGTGTTAGACAATTACTTCACTACTGTCTCCTCTAGGAAGGAGGAGGATGTAGGTATGGAATTTGGAAGGATGGACTGAGGTTTTTGAGCAGTTTAATATCGGGAGTGAGGAAGTACTGGAGCTTTTGGTGGGTTTAAAAGGGGCTTAAAAGGTAGATCCCCGGGTCCAGTTGAGTTGCATCTCAGGCTGCTGTGGTAGACGAGGGAGGAAATCACAGGCCCTGATTCAAGTTTTTAATTCCTCTTTGCCCATAAGGCAGGTACCAGAGGACTGGAGAACAGCTACTGTGGTTCCACTTTTCAAGAAAAGTATTAAAGATAAACCGGGAATTGGAGACCAGTGAGTCTCAGAGCAGTGGTAGGGAAAATATTGGAGATAATTCTGAAGGAGAAAATTTAATCTCCATTTAGAGAGGTAGGTTTAATAAGGGATAAGGCTTTCTCAGAGAGAGATCATCCCTAACATCTGGTTGAATTTTTCAAGAAGATGACCAGACGTCTAGATTAGTGTCATGTAGTTGATTTGGATTTCAGCAAGGCCTTCGACAGAGTCCCCCGAGGGAGACTGATAAAGAAGCTAAGAGCCATGAGATCAAAGATAACTTGGCAGGTTGGATCCAAAATTAGCTTAGTGACAGAAAACAAAGTGGGGATGATAAGTTTGTGAATGTCACAAAGATTGGCCAGGTGGTTGACAGTAAAGAAGAAAGTCTTGGGTTACAGGAGGATAGAGATGGATTAGTCAAATGGGCAGATCAGTGGTAAATGCAGTTTAACCCTGATGAGTGTGAGAAGATGCACTTTGGAAGAAGGAATAAGACAAGGGAGAAAGCTCAGAGGAATAGAGGGGATCTTGGGATGCTCATCCTCAAATCCCTGAAGGTAGCTGAACAGCTTAATAAGGTGGTTAGGAGGGCATCCCGTGCACTTGCCTTTAACAGCACCGGTTATAAGAGCAGGGAGTTTGTTGATGTAAAGAACTTTGGTTAGACCATACCTGGAGTACTGTATACTACACTATAGGAAGGACGTGATTGTAGTGGAGTGGAGTGGAGATTGTCTGGGATAGCTTTGAAGAGAGGGTGGATAAGTTTGGGTTGTTTTCTTTGGAGCAGAGAAGGTTGAGGGGAGGTATAATAAGATTATGAGGGGCATGGATAGGATGGGTAGAAAGCACTTGTTCCCCTTGGTTGAAGGGTCAGTAACGAAGGGCATACTTTTAAGGTGACAGGCAGGAGGTTTGGTGGGGGGTTGAATTTTTTTTTCACTGACAGTGATGAGTTTCTGGAATTCACTTCTGGGGAGGGTCATGGAGGTGAGTAACCTCAAACCTTTAAAAAGTACTCGGATGAACACTTGAAATGTCACAGCATTCAAGGCTGTAGGCCTAGTGGTGGAAAGTGGGACTAGAGTAGATTTAATACACTTTTGGCAGTACAGACTTGGTGGGCTGAAGGGCGTCTTCTGTAGTGTGTGATTCTATGATTTTGATGCTTTTCTTTCGCTGGTTGATGCTCTGGAACTATAAAGGTGAAACAATAAATCTTTTTAGTAAGAGCTTCCATCTCACTCGGGCGTCTACATCCAATTACCTGCTATGAAAGCTCAAACTCCTCCGCCACAGCCTAGGTAATCCATGATATTCTAAAACAGCAATGCTATTCTAAATGGAACAACCCACAATCTTCTTTAAAAATAAATCTCCCAGTGTTCAAATTTGACTTCAGTGCACTATCCCAGTGAGTCATGACAGTTTAGATTTACGTGGCGCATCCAAACATTATAGATGATAAACTTGGAAACACAATAAATAGTAAGGATTACATTTCAAGTGGACAGAGACAGACTAGTGAAATGAGCAGACATGAGAGATGAAATTGAGGTTAGGGAGGTGCAAAGGGATTGATTTTTGAAAGGAATATTGAAAAGAAGTAAACAAACTGTATAGTCTAATTTTAAGAGTGGTACCTAAATGGAGACCTTGCATGCAAATCTTTGAAGGAGCTAGGAGATGTTGAGAGAGCTTTTTAAGCAGCATTTGGGATCTTTGGTTTTATACACAGTTGAAGTAGCTGGAGTATTGTGTTTCATTCTTGGAAAAATGGAGTGATTTGCAAAGGAGTTTGCTAGGATGGTACCAGGTATATGGGATAACAGTAACATGGAGAAACTGGAGAACATATGATCAACGAGACCACCAAAGTTGCATTGTGATCTGAACTAGGAATCAGTAACCTTTCTTGTAAAAGTCGGCAGTGTCTGAGCTTTCAGGTTCTTAATGAGAGAATAATACTACAAGATTGTGACTTTCAAAAAAGACAAATTTTGCTGTACAACGTGATAATAAAACTTTCACATATATTGTAGATTGTTATATTCCTAACATCCAGAGTTAAAATGAACCAAGTATGGGTAATAGTGGTCAAACACCCTGCAAATGAGACAGATCCCACAGATTTCTCAAAATTTCACAAATGTTAGTGACACTGTGAGTCACAAAATCCATTTAAAACTTTAGAAATCTGGCTTTGAAACTCCCTGAAAAACCATTCTGTTATGGATTCTCTCAATGATAGCTCACCTCTATAACTAACCTCTATAATACTTTGACAGAACAGTGAGGCAGCATTTTATTTAAATGGAGAGAGATTGCAGACTCTGATGTACAGTTTTCTGGATTTCATGGTATTTGAATCGCAGAAGTCAGCATACAGGTGCAGCAAGTCATTAGGAAGGCAAGAGGAATGTTGTTGTTAATTGCAAGTGGAATGGAAGATAAAAGGGATGTTTGCTACAATGGTATAGGCCATTGGTGAGATCACATCTAGCATACTGTGTACAGTTTTAGCCTCCTTGCATAAGAAACGATATAATGGAATGCTATTTGTATGCTCTATTGTGAAAATTGACTCAAAATATCTGTTCTGTTCAGTTCATCAGCTATTTCCTCGTCCATTATTAATTTCCCAGACTTACTATAGAGGAATAATGCTCATTGAATGTGCTGTTTTCCTTTTTTAAATACTTAGAAAAATTCTTACTATTTGTTTCTTAAATTTCTAGGTTGCTTTCTTACATATTCTAATTTCTTTTTCTTCATTCTTCTTTAGTCATTCTTTGCTGTTGTTACTTTCAATTCAAACTTCTGAATGGTCACCAATCTTCACAGAATTGTATGTTTTGACTTATTGTTAGAAATTTCTCCCTACACAGAAAAAATTGAGAAGATTTGATCAAGGTCGAATGTTATTGAGAGAGTAGGAAGTGACTGCTGTTCCTAGTGGTTTGAGTCAATAATCAGCAGCTCTTTTTTTTAAAACCGCATGACATTAGGAAATATTTTTGTCTTTATGCCGCAAGTTGTTGTGATCAGGAATGCACTGGCTGAAAAACTGGTGGAAGCAGATTCAAGATTAATATTCAAAAGTGAATTAGATCAATGCTTGAAGGAAACACTAAGAGGAGAGTGAGATTAATTGGATAGTTCCACTAAGTTTTTAAAAGCATGATGAGCCAAATGGTCATTTTTGTGTCATGCAAAGAGATCTTAAAATTTCTTGGCCCTTATTTTGGTACAAAAGATTAACAAATTTTGGTGCGTTACTAGACTGTTTCATTTGCTTCAGATAACAATACATGCACCCCTTTTTTTTTTTGGAATAACTGCTCAATTAAAGTGGAAACCTAAATCGCAATGCTCAGATTTTTATGAACCCTCTAATTTTGCATACATAACATGAGTTAGGAGCAGGAGTGGGCTATTTGGCTGCTCAGTCCTGTTCTACCATTTAATAAGGTCATGATTAATTGTAATCTCAACATTCCCATCAACTTCCAATAACTTTTCACCTCCTTGATAGACACATAGGAAAATGGTAATCTTACAAATCTCCCCCGACTCTTCTCCCAAAGTTCACCTACATAATAGTCCATTTGAGCTCTCCAGTGAAGCTTCTGCTGCTCCCAGTGAAACAATTGGAAGATATTTCCCTACCTCCTGCGTGCTTTAAAAATATAACAAACTGTGATCCCTTTTGGCGCCACCATGTTAAAGAATCTGTCCTCATTTATTTCCTTCACAGAGAAGGAAAATGCATTTATTTTTAAAGTTAATTGTTTTTGGAAGCATGTGTTCGTGTTTCATGTTGTGAAACATTTGAACTTCACTAGCCCAGAGGACTTTGGGTGCTCAGCTGTTGAATATGTTCAACACTTTGATAGGTAGATATATTTTGAGAAATAAAGGAATTGAGTAATATGGGGATAGGATGGGAGGGTAGTGTGATGCAGATGTACAGCTGATTAAAGCTGCTTCAAGGGGCTGTAAGGACTACTCTTGCTGCTATTTCCTATGTTTGTATTTCTTGTGTGTATATGCAGGAACAAGTTCTTCTTCGAGCCTACAAGGAATGCCACCGTGTTTTGTCCCAATGTTTTAATGAGTGCAGTCAACGGAATGCAAGGAAGCAGCTCAACACTCTGAACATGTGTGGTCACTCCATCAGCTTGAAACGTTACTTAGTATCTCAAGAACCTGTCAGCATCCACCTTCCCTTATCCAGGCTCCTTGCAGGTTGGTTGAAGGGAATTGCTTCACTAGCATCATAATTGAGGTGCAGCTTTGAAGTATCTTGAGCATCATAGTGATATGGTAGCAGAATAAAGGTAACCGTTTAATTCCCCGAGTGGTAAGGACTAAAGCCTGGTCTACCTCTCTTAGGAAGCAAGCCTTTAACTTGAGCTTTGATCCGTCATGGAAAGTTGATGTGAAGTCTTCTGTGGTTAGCTAAGTCTGTAAAATGAGTTATTTCTGTTTCAGTTGATAATATAGATCAATTTTAAAATTCATTTGGCTGACTAACATCTTTTAGGAAGGGAAGTCTGCCAACATTACCTGGTCTGGCCTATATGTGACATCAGACTTACAGCAATGTGGTTGACTCTTAACTATCAACTGAGATGGCCAAGCAAGCCATTCAGTTCAAGGGCAGTTAGGGATGGTCAACAAACGTGGACTTTGTTAGCAATGCAGTATCCCATGAAAGAATAAAGGACAATCAGTACAGTGACTCAGTGATTTTACTTTTTACAATACAATCTAAAAACAGTAATGAAGTAATAAGTACATAATGGAATTCTGTTTTAGTTCTTTTTTTCTAAATTACCCCTTTTAAACCTCTAACTTCAGGTGATGGTGATACAACTATGACATAATTCACCTGCTACTAATTATTTGACACTGTAGGCGACTTAACACATATATGGATATGCTTCCATTCTGTTTCTCACCAACTCTAAGTTAAAACAAACCCAGCCATGCATTTTAGAATTACAGTTATAAAACTGATGTAACAATCCCAAAAGGCAAGTATACTCCTCTGCTTTTAAATGCAAAATCTAGGACCAATGAGTGCCTTTGAATGTATATTATTTAGCTAATAAAGTTAATTGGTCCTTAGATATTCTAAATAGATATTGTAAGCAAACATAAATAATGCCTCAAGAAGAAATCTCAACTTGAATCCAAAGATTCAAAGGGGTAAAGAGAGCTGAGGGGAGCATGGCCTGTGTGTGAGGAGCGGGATCCGTAGATGAGGAGAGGGGACAGGTGGATTGGCATGCTAAATTGCTTATCATGTCCAGGGATGTGCAGACTAGTTGCAGACATGTAATGTAAGGTTACCAGGATAGGGTAGGAGGATGGATCTGGGTAGGATGTTCTTTGGCCTTGATGGACCAAATGCCTGCTTCCATACTGTAGGAATTCTATGATTCAGACAATGCGAAATCAAGTTAAGACTAGTCTTGTAAATACTCCAGGAAAGATGTTACTTTTGTATTTATTGTTTTAAGCAAAAGCCTAATAGTTCAGGCCCAATTTTTATTTTGTTCTCAATAGTTGTCCTGATGTCATGCGTTCTGTCATAAATCATGGCAGCCTTCACACTCTTGAGTTCAATATTTATTAATGCTTGGAAATGTGCAACGTGGCAGTATAGCAACTTAGATTTTTAGTAAGGGGCAATGATGCACACGTGGTCTATGGGAAGTCACACGTCTGGTTCTGCATTTTGCTTTTGTAAACATGTTTTGCTTGGAAAGAGTTTTTAGCCATTAAGTCCGGTTCTGACAGGCTAGTAGCTTATAGAAATGGCAGTGATGTATTGAATGTTGGATAAGTGGTTTGTTTATTGTCACATATATCTTGAAGATACAGTGAAAAGTGTTTTGCCACTACAATATGGCACCATTTTAAGGTACAGTAAGGATAAAAATAAATTATTTTAGTAGAAGTTCACCTGCTGTTCAAATTGAAGTCTCAAGTACAGCTTCAGGACTTTTACAAGGTCTCTGTAAGATGGTCTGGTCCTCAAGGAGTCCTGCTGCAGAAACAGTGACAATGATGCCAATGCCCCAGGAGACCGCTGCTGTGCTGCTGCTGCTGCCACCTGCCGACACCCACAAGACTCCAGGCTCTAGGCCTGCCGCCGCTGGCAAACTGGGCCTTGGGCATTGGGCTCTGCCACTGCAGCCACCACCCCAACGACACCACTTCAGCCTCTAAGATGAAGAAGTACATCTTAGATGATAATGACCGTATGTACGTAGAGAAATCGTATGGGTTAATGTAATGCTTTTGCTAGGTTAAAATCTATTTAAGTTGACCTGGCCATTTTTCCTGCGGTATTAGAATGAAGTCTTACAATTTTCTCAACTTGTGGCATTATTACAAATTACTGTACAGGTTCTTACACACTACTTTGTGTTATAGGTTTGCACGTACATCTAAACAAGAGTGGGGCAATTAACAAGTTAGAAGAATATGTGCCTTCAGTAAGTAAAGAGCAATAAAAAAAATCACTTTCTCTGTTCAAAGTCTGAGTATCCTGTAGTTTATAATAATATTTAAGCAAAATGTCAAGAGGTTTGCTGCTGAATTATTAAAAATGCAGCTTGCATCTTAATTTTCCCAGCTTATTCAGACAACTTTTGCTTTAATATGTGTCCGTTTTTCTTTGTCTCCCAAAATCTGGGTGCATAATGAGAAGTTTCAAATGATTTAATTAAGCAGTGAAATCTCCAGCCTGCTGTCATTCAATGAAATTGCAGAATGGCCTTTAACTGTGATTTTTGATTCTATGATACATGTATAGTTGAAAGTATTAGATACACATAAAAGTTTTACGCTTAACCTTTTTGGGTTTGGGGTAAGTTTTAATTTTGACAATTTTTCTAAAGCATAAATGCACATAGTCTTTTGTTTTTCTGCTTTGTAACTCCATTCTCCATAAAAAGTAAACTAAAATAAGCCATTGCTTGAGTTGCATTAAAGATTATATCTGGAGTGTTTTCAAAGATTATACTTTCAAAAAATTTTGTTTTCTGGAAGTTAGAGTAGTCATTAAAAAATACAATACTATCCAGCTTTTTATAAGTTTTGAGGCATTTAAGTTTACAAATTTTTAACGCTTACTAGTGTTGGTATTAGTTGGGTAATTAGCTTGGCGAAATTGTCATATTTAACAGCTATTGTTTTTTGAAACACATAGTTGGTCTTATTAACCACATACTGTTGTGCTTATTATTAAAGTCAGAGTTTCAAGTTGAAAAATTGATGGACTACCCATTGCGCTGCTTAGTGCTGATGGCTCAGGTCTCAGCTGGTATGTGGAGAAGAAATGGATTTTCTTTAGTAAATCAGGTACTGCGGAGATGTTGACTTATATTTACGAACAAGCATTTTTGACCTTTGATGTAGTGATTGCTTTTTATGCAAGAAGATTCACGCCAGTGAGGGTACTATGAACATGGGTTCATATTCATTGAATCTTGTCTCACTCTAATCTCTGCAGTGAAAAGTTCACAAAATTGTACCAATCATTTGATAGACAGTAAATAGAGGTGCCATACTCGATGAAACCTGAGAGTGAACAGTCCAAAACAAACCCCTTCTAAACCAAAAAAAGTGTTTCTTTTTGATTTTTGTTTGGAGAAATAGAAAACTTGTATATGGTCCAACTTGAAAAAGATAGTCATAGAGTCATACAACACGGAAATGGATCTTTTGGCCAACCAGTCCACATCGACCATAATCCCTGACTAACCTATTCCCACCTGCCTGTGCTTGGCCCATATCCTTACAAACAATTTTTATTCATGTACTTATCCAAACGTCTTTTAAATGCTGTAACTAAACCCACATTCACTACATCCTCTGGAAGTTCATTCTGTGTACGAACCACTCTCCACTCTGCGTTTTTTTAAAAAAAAAAGGTGCCCCTCAAATCGTTTTAAAAATAATTTTCCTGTCACACTAAAAATGCCTTGTCTTGAAATCCCCAACCCGAGGGAAAATACTCCTGCCATTCACCTGATCTATATCTGTCATAATTTTATAAACCTCTATAAGGTCACTCTTCAACCTCCTACGCTCCAGTGAAAATAAGGACCCAGCATGTACAGCCTCTCTTTATAACTCAAGTTTTTTTTTTTCTGAACCCTCTTCTACTTAATAATATCCTTGCTATAATAGGGCAACCAGAACTGGACATAGTACTCCAGAAGAGGCCTCACCATAGTCCTGTACATCAACATAATGTCCCAATTCCTATACTCACATGCCTGAGCAATGAAGGCAAACATGTTAAACGCCTTCTTTGTCATCCTGTGTACATGTGGCGCAAATTTCAAAGAATTTGGTACCTGAACCCCCAGGTCCCTCTGTTCTATAGCACTACTCAAGGCCCTACTTTTAATTGACTAAGACTTGCCCTTGCTTGTTTTACCAAAATGTAATCCTCGCATTTATCCAAACTGAAACTCCGTCTGCCACTCCTCAGCCCATTGACCCAATTGATCAAGATCTCTTTGTAATCTTAAATAACCTTCTTCACTGTCCGCTATACCACCAGTTCTGGTGTCGTTCACAACCATGTTATCATGTTATCATCTAAATCATTTATATAAATGACAAACAAAAGTGGACGCAGCACTGATCCCTGTGGAATGCTGCTGTTAACAGGCCTCCAGGCCAAAAAGCAGCCCTCCATCACCTGTGGTGTTCCGCAGATATCTGTACTGGGACCTCTGCTGTTTATGAAATATATAAATGACTGGGATGAAAATGTAGATGGATGGGTTAGTAAATTTGTAGACGATACAAAAATCGGAGTTGTGGATATTGCAGAAGGCTGTCAAAGGATATAGTGGGTTATAGATCAGTTGCAGATCTGGGCAGAGAAATGACAGATGAAGTTTATTCCAGCTGAGTATGAGATGCTGCATTTTGGGAGATCAAATGTTATGGAAAAGTGCACAATTAATGGCAGCTCCCTGAATAGCATTGATATAATACAGAGTGATCTTGGGGTTCGAGTCAACAGCTCTGAAAGTGGCCACATAATAGGGTGGTAAAGAAGGCATATGGCATGTTTGCCTTTATTGGTCAGGGAATTGAGTACAAGAGTCAAG